TTTTCTTGGAATTTAATTTTGGCAAACTTACGATTAATTTAATATTTCCAACGATAAAATTAAGAAAAGGGAAGAATGATGAAAATTGATGGAAGGAACGGGAACGCATGATTATCAGGAGGGAGGCCTAATTTCGCCTCGATTACCCCGACGTTAGTTCTGACCCCGGATTGGATATTTTCCCTGGGTTTTGTTATTTTTTTTACTACCCCTGACGGCTGAGATTTCCTGAGTTGCTTTCCCTGGTTTGCTTGATCACTAACACTGACCACTGTTAAGACATTCTGAGTGCGGGGGACACATGGACAGGCGCGTGCCTGACGTGCTTCGGGTGCGGTTGATACCTGTGTCACTACGGTGACGTATTTTTAGACTCCGGACAGCTGCGCTGATTTATTCTGACAGATATTCCAGCTTTGGGACCTCGGCGGCAGATTGTTTTCAGGGCCGGAAAAGTTGCGGCACTGTATATCAGGCTCGGAACACTGGTTGGAAACAGGCCAGTACTATTATTTATTTGAGACCGACTGGCTCGGTTCGCTGGTTTGAAACAGGGCCGGTATAATTATTTGGCTGAGACCGCCTGGTTCGGGACACTGGTTGGAAACAGGCCAGTACTATTATTTATTTGAGACCGGCTGGCTCGGTACGCTGGTTTGAAACAGACCCGGTATAATTCTGGTACCGCTGCCTGGGCAGGCCCAGGCTTGCGAGCCTGGCTTAGGCTGAGTCATTGGTCCGCGTCCGCTAACGCTCACAGGCAAGAGTGCGGCCGGGATATAGGAGAGGCCAGCGGACCACGGGGAGAAAAAAGTGTACGTGGTGTACACCGCGGAAAAGCTCCGTTCCGGGGGGGAGCATGCCAGGCGTACACAGCGGAATACAGCATGCGTCTAGGCAGGTCAACGAGCGGAGAGCGGAGGAGAGAGGACTGAGTGTGAGAGAGAAAGAGAGAAAGAAGACTGTGTGAGAGGGAGAGAAAGGACTGTGTGTGTGAGAGAGAGAAGACTGTGTGTGAGAGAGAAAGAAGACTGTGTGAGAGGGAGAGAGAAGACTGTGAGAAAGAGAGAAGACTGTGTGAGAGAGAGAGAGAAGACGGTGTGTGAGAGAGAGAGAAGACTGTGAGAGAGAGAAGACTGTGTGTGAGAGAGAAAGAAGACTGTGTSAGAGGGAGAGAGAAGACTGTGAGAGAGAGAGAGGACTGTGTGTGAGAGAGAGAGAAGACTGTGTGTGAGGGAGAGAGAAGACAGTGAGAGAGAGAGAAGACTGTGTGTGTGTGTGTGTGTGTTTTGTGGTTGCTCTCTCCTCTCCTATGTGCACTCTTTGTCTGTCCCGCATCTCCTTCTCACTTATTTGCTGGGAAC